TGCTCTTCGTCGTATTATAACACAATGGTGCATTGACGCGACGTAACTACGGTGATTCGCACATTTTCCTCCTCTCTTCTTATTCTTTCTCTGTTTCTCTTCTCTTCCTCTCTCTTTCTCAACGCACAATTTTTTTCTCTCACTTGTCTTGTCTTGGTGCAAGATTTTTTATATTTGAATTTATTTTAATAATATTAATAATATCTAGTAATATCTAATTAATAAAATTAATAATATTAATAATATCTAATAATATTGACAATGTAATAATTTTCGTAATAATAATAACACAACATAATAACACAATATATTGTGTAGCTTTTTATAAGAGAGAGAAAAAAGAGGTAATTTATGTTACCTTTATTAATTATAATAAAATATATATATGTATATTAATACGCGTGCATGTTTTTAATTTTTCTCTCTAATTATTTCCCTGCTTCGTAATGTTTGCGATTTCACATTATTATATTTACTATTCAATTAGAATTGAATTAAATAATCGTGGTAATTTGCTTTCTCTTTGCTCATTAATTCAATTCGTTCAATACAGAGAATAATTAAAAACGAAATTCATTTTTTTCAATAGAAGAAAGTTAATTCGAATTTAATCTTTTCAACTTCAAAAATAATATTCCCGAAGTTCTGCGGAGAAGAAGCAGACTCTGGATCTTCGCGTTGGATGCTTTTAATCTACTCGCTCGTGAAGCTACGAAAACGTTAAGAAACGCACAGAATGCGCCGCAGAATCGAAACACGTGTCACCAAGGGTCGAGCCTTTGATTACTGGAGCTTAGGCGCATAAGCGTAAGCCGGCATAAATTGCCGATTACCGTTGTATACGGCCGCCTCCCTTGATGAAAGTAATTAAGTCCCGGCGCAACGTAGGCCGTGCACGACGGCATGGCAATAATTCCTGGAAAAGTCTCTCGCTCTCTCGGCTAATTACATAAATCGCCGGTATAGCGACTCTCCTCGAGAGAGCGAGCGCGAGTTATACAAACGCGGCGGGGTCCTCAATTCCTGTCGTATCGTAATAATTCCACGGGCACGCGATGAACGAGTTTCTTGTGGACCGCTCGCACAAAGGTCGATTCATTGAGAAATCAGTTAACGTACCGGGTGTTTCACAAGCGAGAGACTCCGACGACGAAGGCCTCCTCGGGTCCACTTTGGAATTTAAGATTCGCACGAAATATTTTTCAATCCGCATATTTTTTAATCCGCGGGAAATTTATCACGCATTCGTCGAAAGATACGAGTCTTCCGTGTATAAATAGTCTGTATATAATTAGTTACTTGTGAAGTATCGTGTATACTGTGGTCCCCTCGTTACAAACGAGATCCGATTGATTGTACCCGATAGCGTCGCTTTATTTAGACTCGATGTCCGAGCTCCGAATTCCGATACTCGCAGATAGAATCCCCTTTACGGGATTGGCACGCGACCTAATATATCTTGTAATGTTGCCCAATATCGAATTTCCCTAATATGGCACGAAAGCGGGCCGTTGGACCTTTCGCAAGCGGCTATCGAACATTGATTACGCTTTTGTTAGGAACTCGATCGCTTTATGAATTTAATCAATTGTGCGCAATTTTTTTTAATATTTTGCAGATTATAAAACGAGCTAATATTTGTAGAGAAAAAAAATTGGTCTCGGTTGAAAATTCAACGTTCGCATTTTTCCGGGAAAGTTAAGCTATCGCGAAGCGTTATTTGAATAACGAGAAATCTCAAGTTTAAGCGTTAGCTCGAAAATCATACTAATTTTCTCTCTTTACGATATCGCTGACATTTACCGGCGATATTTCCCAAGTGTAATCACGCCGCCCACTCGTTTATAGAAGGGAAAAAATGTAATCCGTAGAAATATTGTAGAAGAGAGAGAAGATTTAGATTTTTTCCAAGCTCTACAAGTCAAATATTTTCTTTTAATAAATATCCCATTGACTTTTTGCCGCATCATGAAGACACATGGTGTAGTTTATGAAAAAAGGTGTAATTTTTCGTGTATATTAAAAATAAGAGAAAAATGAAAAAAAAGAGAGAGCGTGGTTTTACTTAATAAATTAATATCGGATACATATAAATTATCAGCAATATACAATTATCAGATATTAATGATATCTCGTGGAAAACGAGTTTAATGTAATTTTCGCTCTAATTAGATTTCGAAAATTACCACTGACATTTATCGTGAAATAATACGTAAAACATGTATAAGAGTAACAAACGTAATTTTCGATGGAATCCTATTTTGCAGATTAATTGAAGAAGGATGAAAAGTAGCGACAGATGAATACGTTTCCTCGAAATAATCTCGACGATTGTCTCGCGAGATAAGAATGCACACGCATGAATCAACGCGTGAATGGAATCCTCCCATTCTTGATGATTTTTATCGTCGTATCTAGTCGCGCGATCGCCCGTTCGTTATCGTACGATAAGCGATCTTGCCGAGGCACGGTCGAGTTCGACGAACGTCGCTAATTGGTGTAATTAATTGCGAACTCTATGAAAGTAAGCTTACGTAAAAGAATTATATGATTGCGACATTCATGACGCGCCATTTTTACGACAAGCGAGAATTCGCTAGGATCGATCGCTCGTCGCGATCGATTATTCAGCGCGATCAAAATAACAGCAGTGCGATCGAGCAATATTTAATCATTTAAATATCATTGTCTCGATTTACGTCCGTGCGATACGCTCTATATCGGCCAAATAAAATTTCTAATCGAACAGCCGCGTTTATAACGCGTTTATATAAATGCGATATCGACCAAATGTAGGGCACGTTATCGCGGCTAAGATTGGATCTGATTAAAACACGTACTCTCTTAAACTGAATCACTGAAAATGTCACTGATTAAAGCACCGATACAAGATTTCATCGAAGATACATGAATATTTCAGTGGAAGCAGTCGTACTTTCTTCCTCTGTCTTATTTTCTACTGATTGCGACAATAAGATTTCGCTGAAAAGTCGCACATACACAGAAAAAAAGGATATTCTTGTTTTGAAAATATATTTAGTTTTAACGTGGAAATCTTGAAATGAGATTATATTGCATTAACTAAAAAAAAATAATTGCTTGAATAATTGCTAATTGAATGAAGTCATTTTATATAGTTCAATCGAGAAAAATATATTCTTATGATTTAAGATTTAATTTTCTTGAATGGAAAAGAAACAATGTTAGATAGAAAATAACATTTTTAAATCAAAGATTATAATTTTCTTAAAGTAGAATTAAATAATTATATATTCTTGAGGTGACAATTACAATATTAAAATAAGACTATAATATTGTTGAAATTTAAAATTATTAAATTCCTCTATGAATTATAAATTGTTGCGTATATACGAAACAATGAACGCGTTAGTTTAAGTATATAAGTTTTGATTTGACACTTTTTTTCTGTGTATTTGCGAAATGTCGCTTTTAAAACTTTTTTTTATTCATTTTAAATTGCTACTTTTTAAGAGAAATTCATACATGCGCATATTTGGAATGAAACACGTATCCATATTCAAAATTACATGCATATTATTTTTTATTCTTGTGATAAATTGAGAAAAAAGCAATTTTTAATCAAATATTTTTTTACAATAAAATATATATTGCTATAAATATATATTTTTATTTCAAATATAATATTGTAAAGTATATGTGTGACATTTCATATGAAAAATATCACTCATTGAAATAACCACTAACTAATTCTTTCAGCGAGATTTCGCTGATTTATCCTTATTAATTCAGATCATTAAGTGATTATTCACTGCTCCTCTTTCAGCGAAAATACATTTATTCTATTTATTCTACGTATCTAATTCCAGGAGAGTTAATTATCTTTCCACGAGTTAAATAGCACCGCGCGCGTAGAGAGTTTTTTTAGAATATTTAATAAAATAACGCGAGCATGTCTCGCGCTAACGATGCACCAACATAGAGACAAAGAAGCGAGTTGTTCTTATTTTTAATCGCGCTTTGCATTTCTTAACATGCGTCATTCGCGAGATAAATTTGCTCCACGTGGTATCGATTTCTAATAAACGTCTAAAGCACGTTTATTAGACGCAGACCCTTTATAACTTGATTTGCGTGGTACGGCACCTACGAGGGGTGGCACTCTATCGATCTCAAAACAATCTGGTGAAAATGCGAAAATGGATTTCCGGTTATGCGATATACGTGTGCTTTTTTCTGTCTCTCAGAAAGTTTTCTCATTGCAACACTCGAGTTCGCTTTCCTGGAATATTGTACTTTTAAAAGACTCGTTATAAATTTTGTGGTTTTTCGAAATGCAAATGATCTCTTTACTAATAATAACTCTATACAAGTGTTTCGATAAAAATTAATAATTATACAACAGGTATCTTCGCTATCGGCGGCTACAATCTCTAGAGGGAGCCTATGAACGGAGACTTGCTAACTTGGAGCAAATCAGTTATCTATTGTTGAGCCATTGTTAATGCTATCCGCTGGTAGCAAAATTCCCTGTAGAAAGTATCGATTTCAAAAAATAATAAATCTAAAATAATAAAAAAAAAATTTAGATTTAAAACACTCGAAAAGAATAATGCTAAACCTTTTTTAACCGCATGCATAATTTCTTTTTAATGAAACTTATATAATCTCTTTTTTATAATTTTTTTCAAAATTCTCAAGGTTTTTATTTTAACAAGGAACATTAACAGACTAAAAGTTAAAGTTTGAAATAAATTATTTGGATATAAATAAGTAACACTTGCATTGTATAAAGTAATATATCATTATTGCAAATTTTTCTCGATGCAAATTCGTCAAATAATGATACGCAATTGAATTTAGGACGCATGGAATAAAAGAAACGGGCAAAATTATTTGTTCCATGAGAATATTTAATACGATTACAATAATATAATTAAGATAATATACAAAATATTAAGCGTGTCTGTTGTTTATAAACGGCGGGCTCCTGTTACGGGACAAAGTAATGTCTCGTTATAATGTCTCGTTATATTTTGTACTTCATATACGCCCGCGAGTCTACTCTGCGAGTCCCTAAAGCTTATTTCTTTAAAGAATCGCAACGGAGTAGACATTGAAGAAACTTTACAAAGTATGTAGATTATATCGAGGAAGAGAAAGAGAGAAAAGCACTATTTATTAATTTAAAATTTATGTCATTAAAGTTTAATGAACGGGAAACCCAGATAACGGTATTCATCGAGAGACTTTAAATATTCCATTATGAAAAAAAATTGTTCAGGAATACGCTTCGAAAAAATACAAATTTTTCACAAACGAAATAAATTAACTACAAGTACCGAAAATAATATTCAAGAAAAGAAATATTTAAAAAAATATCAGTTTCCACAGAAATATTATTTAGCCATTTGGCACACTGAATTAATAAAACGCTATCTCAGAGAGCAAGCATCGAATTTAAGACGTTCTCGTTGTCGTAATCCAAGGAAATCATCGCGCTTGTATCTCTGATACGTGATCTTCAATCTTTAAGAGAGATTCTAGAAAAGACTGACTTCCACACGAGAACAGCTTTACGAAATAAAGAGTGAAAGTCTGCTTAAATCATCTTCGCAACTCGTGAATTATCTAGTCCCATCTCTTTATGAGATTCCTCTCCGATACTTTATGAGATTCCTCTCGCGTAATTTTGGAATCAGGGTTTGTTCGGGGCGCTTCTGGGCCTCTTCGGCGTCGCGTATTTGACGCACAGGAAACCCAGAACGATGAGAACAGCCGTGACAGCCACGCCGGTGCCCAGCCACAAGCCCTCGCCGCGCACGTTCCGCGAGTCAAGAGCAACCTCGTGGAGGGCTAGAGCTCCATCGGGAGGCTCGCACGCCGCCTGGATGATGATGTCCTGCCGCTGGATCTGCTTGGGTCTGCAGTTGGTCAGCTTGCTCATGCTCTCGCTTGTGTGCAGACGCGACAGCAGCAGCGACAACGACCACTGCATCATGCTGATCCGCGAATACCACGATGGCAGGTTGTTCAGATGCAGGGTGACACCCCCGGCCAGGCTCATCTCGCCCACCACCACGCCAGCGAGCAGCGCTGCCAGATACGTAGACTTGCACACGTGCGCGAAGAAGATGCAGACGAGATGCTGCAGCATCAGGTACAGCAGACCGACGGCGAGGTAGTTCCAGAGCGACGTCAGGTTCTCGTCCGGCACCAGGTGCAGCCCCGACATGGCGAACGCCGGCGCCAGGTATATCAGGTAAATTACGCACCAGGATGATACGTTGCAGACGAGCTAAGAAGAAAAAATGAAGTTTCTGCTTTTAATATTTCTCCCGAAAGTCTCAGATTTGATGTTATAGCCTATAAAATATCTCTGTATTTGTATAGATTACATTTACATACATGTTAATTTTAATTACACACATTTTCTCACTTTTATGTACATTTGCTTTATATTATTTTAGCTTCTTTAGTATTCATATTGAAGTTTATCAAACGTCTCAAAAGTATCATGAGAACTTTTAATTTTAATATGAGATGAAAAAAGAAGAATAGAAAGAAATTTTTATTACTTGTTTAACTATTTTATATTTTGCAAGAATATATTAAATAATGTTTCTAAAGTATTACATTTTTTTTCTCTACATAATTTTTAAGAAATTTCTCAAAACACTTGCTCCCTCAATTTCATAAATCACGTACTTTTTGTTCAAATATTTATTTTGTTAAATTAATTCTTAAAAGTTTAATAAAAAGTTGAGCTTACTTCTATGAGGATGTAGATAAATCTGCCGTACAATCCATCCCTGATGTCCCTCTCTACGTTCGGCCTGCTGTTGGCTACATCGCACATCGCCAGGAGGCTTAGGGGCCAGAAGAAGATGCCCAAAATAGCGTAATGAAAACCTATTCTATCTCTCAGATATAGGTTCGACTCGTTAGCAACGTCCCAAAATATTGCACCGAGTAAAATACTGAGCGACGCGGAGATTATGATTTTTCGCAGTAGCCGCGTCAACGTCCACGGTTGACTGTAAATAAGCGTTCGCAACAATAGCGCATAAATCTGCAGGAATATGTTGGGACCAGATCTCGAGGGTGGAAGCGCTCCTGGTGGACCAGGATCGCTGAGCGGAGGCAGCCTCGTCCTGGCCAATTCTGCGAGATGATCTATCCTCTGCGAAGACTCCAGCATCGCTTCCGCCGATAAGTCATCCAGCGTCACTAAATCGACTGAAAGAAAAAGAAATTCGTTTGTCCCCATTTTATTGTGCCACAAAATCAAATTTAAAAGGAATTTTGAAATTCAATTTCATATGGAAAGATTTAAGCCTTCTTTTTTTTCTTTATCATTTTTCAACTACTTTTTACTTTATCTCTTTTTTTAAAAAATTAAAAATTCCTTTTATAAATAATCGTACATTTATATAATTTTTATCTTCGTTAAAAACCAGGAGAAATATATTTTATGATTCTGCGAGATTCGTTACTTTACAAATCACTAAATTAATATAAAAATATTTAATTTGAATATTTATTATTATAATCATGATTGACAACAAATTTCTTTCTTTTTTTTGGATTTCGAAAAAATTATTAATATAAAATTATTATAATAATTTATAATAATCTTTGTTAAATAATTTCCGCGTCCTCTTCGTAAAATTTATAACCAAGATTATTATTTATTACGTACGATAGTAATCGGACGGATTCTTGAAGGGAGGACAGGGGAACTCGGCGAGCGCGAAATATGGCAGCATGTCTCTCCTGAGCCCGGAATACATGATCCGGCCGCCGGAGGTGAGCGCGACCCTCGACACCATCGTCAGGATCTCGTACGTGGGCGGATGCAGGGTCAGGACGACGAGCCGTTGACCGCGGCTGGCCCACTGCCTCAGGTACTCGACCAGGAAGAAGGCGTCGAAGATGTCCAGGCCGTGCGTAGGCCTGTCCAGGGCGAGGACGTGCGAATCTTGCAGCAGCCGACAGGCTAAGGCCAGTCGTCGGGCCTCGGAGGTCGTCAGGGTATTCACCAGACAGTGCTTGGTCGCCTCCAAGCCGAGCTCCTGCAGGACAGCCTCGGCTTCGAGCGCGGTGGTGTTGCGACCGCCTCTCAGCAACATGTAGAAACTGAGAGTCTGCTGAGCCGTCAGCCCGGGACTCAAACCGCTCTCTGATGGCAGGTAAGCGACGCGGGATCTGTTTTGATTTTTGCGACATTAATAATTGAAGCAGCCACTTCGTGAAGGGGATATTATTTCGAGTTGAATATGCAATATATAATGATTTAATTCTACTTGAAGAAAATTATAATCTTTGAAAAATGTTATTTTCTATCTAACATTGTTTCCTTTCCATTCAAGAAAATTAAATCTTAAATCATAAGAATATATTCTTCTTGATTGAGCTATATAAAATATTCAAGCCATTATATTTTTCCTTAATTAACGCAATATAATTTCATTTCAAGATTTCCATGTTAAAACTAGAGATATTTTCAAAACAAAAATATCCATTTTTTTTCTGAGTATATTTTTAAAATATAATTACTTTGTAAAATTGTTTAAATGACGCAAGACCGAAAAGTTACGCAATATTAAATATGAAGGAATAATAAAAGCATTAAGAACGGAAGCGACAATTGAAGCGATAATTGAATAATCAGCACTGCTTATTATGCAACTTATTATTCAACTACATGAAAATTTGCATGCTAATGCTCTCTCACTGGTTATTACTTGCTAGTTACAGCCTATTTCGTTAATGTCAGTTACCGTTACAGCCGTGGTTAACTAAATCTTTCTTTTCTACCTGAATTATAGTCAGCATTATGATCTACAAAGAAACGAAGAGTGAATTAGCCAAGCTGCAGCTAACGCTTATTATTGAAACCAGTTACATGAAAGAACCTCTTAATCTCCATCTTCACTTCATTTACGTGCATAATTAATGTAACTTAGAATTAACTGATGCATCTTTGCGGGAAATCTTAGGGAAAAGGAGCAAAATTTATGGGGCAAATAAAATGAATTTTTCTTTCACAAAGTTGTGCTATCAATGACGTAACGTGCCTAGTGACTCACTGCCCCGAAGGAGAAGCGTACGTACAGGAAGAAGATTAGAAAGTACCTGAGAGTACGCGCTGATACCGATCTTCCATTGAGCAGAATATCGCCCCTCTTTATACGCCTCCTGCCCGCGATTGTCTCGACGATCTGCGTGCCTTCCTTCTCGGTAGTGGCCATGATGGCCAGCACCTCGGCGGCACCAGCCTCGAGGGTGATTCCTCGAAGAAGCGGCAGCCTGTCCGAGCCTGAAGCCTCCACGCCCCGCAGCTGCAGGTGAGGATGCTGCAGACACGGCACGGGTCTCAATGGCAGCGTGTAACTCTCCGGTCCCAGGATACCTGGGTGCCCTGTAAAGCGAATTTTAACAATTTTTTAAACGAAAGAAAGAAATTTGAAACGATCGTCGCGATTAAAAAATCTTCATAAGATAAGGAATCGATTTAAAAAAAGAATAAAGGCTCTTTAATAAAGAACTTTTAGCTTGAAATAATTTTCTTTGAGACTTGACATTGATATAAAATGCATCTGAAGATCCTTTATCTTAATAAGTTTTCCTCTCCTTTTCTCGCACCATGAGTTATGTATCCAGGATCGATCGGCGCGATGCTGTGCCGCCGATTGGTCCTGACCGCGCTCTGCAAAAGATTGGCCTCGCTGGCGCTCCTCAGTCTCGGATGATCCCTCGCGACAGTTAATTGAGAGTGCGTTTGCTCCCTCGGGACCGCATGAACGTGCCTAAAGTCCGGATCACTTCTGGCTGAGCGCATAACTGACGCCGAATGCACTGGAACACCTGTTTGGAGTAAAAACGAATCGTGAAACACTATCATTCGGTTTTGATATGCAAATTATCATTTTCATATATAATATATTACATGTTTTATATTATTATATAATATATATAATTATATAATATAAATAATAATGTAGAAGAATTAAAATAACTATTTTTACATAATCTTCTCAGAAGAATTTAATGATTTTAAATTTCAATATTGCAATTGTCATCTCAATATGTAATTATTTAATTCCACTTTAAGAAAATTATAATCTTTGATTTAAAAATATTATTTTCTATCTAACATTATTTCCTTTCCATTCAAGAAAATTAAATCATAAGAATATATTTTACTTGATTGATCTATATAAAATGGCTTCGTTCAAGCAAGCAATTATTCCAGCAATTATATTTTTCCTTAATTAACGTAATATAATCTCATTTCAAGATTTCCATGTTAAAATGGACTAAAGATATTTTCAAAAGAATGTCCTTTTTTTCTGTGTACCTGCGTGCGACACGCGTCGCCCTTCCTCGCTGGAATCGTAGCCGCTGGAGCCGTCGCGATTCCGCGAGGTGGGTGGCAGGACGCGCGGCAGGCCGAATTTCAAGTAAGTGTAGGAATTGTTGGCAAGCGGGCTCTTGGGCCCGTATCGCGGATGTCGCAGAATGCTCTGCACCGTGGAGTCGCGAAGTTGGAAATTCCCGTAAGGCAGCGGCGACTTCTCGGCCGACCCGAGCGCGGAGTCCGTGAAATCCGAGTTCAGATTTTGCCTGGCAAAATAGCAGAAATGCATATGCACATATTAAGAAAAATGATCCTATTATTCGCACTCGTATTTTTTATATTTTACTTTTATATTTTTATTTTTATAGTTATCGTAAAAGGATATTTCATATACTACTAATATAAAAATATTATTTTATGTAATTATAAAAATTAATTAAATAAATTATAAAAATAATTACAAAAATTAATTAAATAAATATAAAAATATAATTATATAAAAATATTTCACATACATAACATATATTATATAAAAAATACGGATGCAAATAATGGGATACTTTCCTTAATTTGTCAAAAATTGATAATATTCATTACACTAATATTTTTAATAGCATTAATATGATCCCATGTAGACAGTGTGCTGTAAATGAGCAAGCTCGACAAAGCTATTTCTTTCACATGGTAAAAAAAAATCACCATAGGTATTCGCTTTGGTGTTTCGCCTCCGGTGAGGCTCAAATTGGACGATGTACGACGCGAATTACACGCTTCCACTTTAAGTACAAGTGTGTTCACCTGTAAATCGACCATGCGTGCAAATCCTCGCTGGCCGGCGGCTCCAGTCCCCTGGTGTCCAGAGCTCCTGGCACCGAGTATCTTCTTTCCAGCTCCCAGGCTTCCGAGCCCATATTTTCCGGTGACTGCGCAGAGATCATAGAGACGACCGGATAAATCCCCGTGAATTAATCTAAGAGAACGTTCGTCGTTCTTATTTTAATTATCACGCCTTAGCGCCGTCGAAGGGGAAAGTCGGCAAAAGGAAGGCGCTCTCGTCTATGAATATTTTGTCAAAGATTGAAAATATTGAAGCAATCATTTCCATTTTATTATAATTTCACACGAAAGTATTCGTACATAAATAGCGAAAAAAAGATCTGAAAAATATACAGTAACTGCAAATTGTTTGAATTGTTTTAGGAATTTTTAAGATAGGAAAGAGAGAAAGAGAGAAAGAAGATAAAGTGAACAGATATACGAAAAAAAAGATTTTTATACAGGATGTCCCAGACTTAACGAATCAGCCGAATAGCAGATTCCTGAGATCATTTGAAGACGAAAATGCTAATACCAAAATGTTGAAGAAGACTTGATGAGCTATGTCCTTAAGCACAGGAGAACGTAACGCCGATTGGTAACCTTTAATCTTTTGTAGCGCCGAAACTACATCTTTCTCAACATTTTGATGTTAAGATTTTCGTTTCCAAATGATCTCAGGAACTTACCATTAACGGTTGATTCGTTAAGTCCGGGACACCCTGCATATTCTATTCTATTATGAATAATATATTTCCTTCTTAAATAATTTTTTAACATTGTAATACTTTTACTTTTGAATTCAACCACACGAAAGACTTGTCATAAAGTATCCTGGACGTAAAGGTTCCGCCGTAATTTCCTGGAAAAGGATCGCATAGTCGATATATGTAGTGAACGGGAAGATAAATTAAATGGAGAATGTTTTATACCGAAAAGGGAAGCGTACACCTTCCTCACGAAGAATCCTCCGACACACTCGGTGTGGATTTATCGCGGTTGCGTCCGCGAGGCTGTCCGCGCGCGATCAAATTTATCGCGCAACACGAGTCGGGGGGGCTGTTATTAAAGCATCGTACAAGAAGGAATTCTCTTGCGCCGTGTGTGTACTCGTCCTGGAGAGTCCTGCGGATACCTGCGGCCGGAACGACGACGATTTGCCTTACGAGCAAGAGCCGAAGCAATTTCAAAGGCGCGCCGATTATTCGCGCGGTTCCCTGGAATGTCGGCGGCGTGATTCTCAACGATTATACACCGTGTCCGAATACAACCGCATCCGTCACCGCGATTTCATGACAAATTTATTCCTGTTGTCCGAGATCAAGGAACGAGAGAAGGGAAAGATTCTTCGCACAGAAAAAAAAATAATAGGAATTATACTGGAGAGAGTAAAAAGACTTTGATATAAAATTGCAATAAAGTTGATTGAATTGTAGACTTTATCGTATTTATCATTCAAGAATACTCCGATTTTTTATATAAAATACAGCAATTTTTCGCGTGCAAGGAAGATGCGATATATATTTCTTCCGCTAGAAAATTCGAAACTTTTTCAATAAGCTGCACGACGCTTATGCTTCTTCCTATCGACTCTTTCTACCGATGAAGAACCGAAGGTCGTGACGGAGTTCCTGGCCGTTGGCGAACAAAGGAGCACGGCCTCGTCGAATTTTATCACGATGTAGCAAATTGTTCTTGTGCTTGCGTTCGATCGTTCGTAAAGAAACTCTCAGGCTGCGGAGAATGCATCTCGATCGGCACACACTGTATAATCTCGATAACTTCTCTCGTGCTATTTTATACCTCAAATAATTTTCTATCTTTATTGTTAAGATACTTCGAAGCAAAATTTGTATTTTTGAAATTTCTGGCTCGAAATACGCATACGAGACTATTGCTTCAGAGAACATTTGCGTTCGCAAATTTTTACAAAGCGAGCTTATAAATGTCGTGGTACAGATGTAGCGTGATCGATATACCGGAAATTGGAGTCTGTGGTAATAACGTACAGTGTGTAACTGTACGTTTAATGGACGCAATTACGAAAAGCAGCGCGGCAAAATGTCAGGTGGCTATCGAAACGGGCTCCTAAACAACCGAACAGTTGATAATTTTTGGTTTTTGTACCTCGTCCTTCTTTTAACCGCGACATTCTAGATCGATTACGAGATACAAGCGAGTAATACTCGTTTTCTTGCGTAATCTCACCTAACGCACACCTAAGCGACGATAACTCGTTAGATGACGTTATTACGTTATTATAGACTTTCTCCTTGTACAAGGTCTCGCATCCTTAATCTGTCGCATCTCACGTAACTGGATATTTTCTTCCTATCGTTATAATAGTTTCCGGTTTTACGCAAAATACGTTTGAAATTCACATTCATTTCATTTCAAATTCGCGCTTTAAAAAAATATTATGTTGTATTTATTATTTTAATTTATGTATTATTTTAATTTTAATTTAATTTATTTTAATTTATTATTTTAATCAATTTACTTTAATTTAGTTTATATTTAGTATTATTTTTTAGTTTATTTTATTTATGTTGCATTTATTTTCTTTTATTTTATTTTAATATTTAATTTTATCTTTATATTTTTTAGCAAAGCTTTTCTTATCATACAAATATAGCTTCCGATTTTAAAAGATTAAACTCAAAATACATTTTAATTCAATTTACGCTTTAAAAAATTTTTTTTCAGAGAGACTCTAATTATTACATATTATTAAAAAATGTTAATATACATATATATTACACTATTTATTTATTTACATTATATTATTTATTTTTGTGAGTATATTGTACTTTTTATTACTTGATTTTATCATTTGTTTGTATCTCTTACAACCTTATTTATAATGCATTATTTTAATAAATCACTTTATATATTATTTTCCAGCATTTTATAAAACTTATCTTTCTGCTTAATTGCCGATATTTCTTAATTGCGTTTCCTGTTTACCGCATCGCAATGGAATGCGCCGATGAGATCGCGTTTTAGCGAGCAGCTATCGGAGATTCATCACCGTTATCGAATACACGGAGTTATTGTAGCGCGAGCGAGGGTATCGTGTCGATGAGGAGACACACGTATGTACATCTGTAAAGACGCAGCATCCCATTTAACGGTGGTATTCGCGACCTAAAAACGCTCGCACGGCCCGCACCTGTTTAATGACTTTTCGACACGTCGTGCGAAGATCCGTTCCGTACCGGGTGGCCGAATATAACGCACGTATTCCTTATCGCAACAGCCTTATTCAGGCGTGAAAATCGATTCGCGACGGAATAATTAGGAATCTCGATGTTACGAGGATACTTTGATAATAAACCCTCCGTCAACTCTCTCGCGCTCTCGTAGTTCGATCTTGATGAAACTCCTGCTAGAGTGGAACACGCACGAACGACCTGATTAAAAGGATCAAGGCTGTTAATCTCAGCGGCCAATTATAACGACCTCCATTATTCTCGACGTTGTAGCAACGTCGAATTCTGTACCTAGTCGTATCGCTTTAATGAATTTCGGAGCGTGTACTCTCTCGAGGGTATCTTAGCGCGCGAGTTTCGCAGACGCGTTCATCGAGGGACGTTCATCGGAAGATGAGATTAAATTAATTAGGGGCGTCTGTGGGACAGAGCCGGCCTCGCGCGTTTTATCTCTCTCTCTCTTTCTCTCGGATGCAAATGGAACGTCATATCGCGGATCGAGCTACTTGAGAATAGCGGCAAGCAACGCATGCATAAACCATCTGCCGCGATGACAGCTTTTAATTTACCTTCTTGTATTAGTTCGGTATGCGTTTCCGAGTTCCGCGCGAGTGCGAAAATGTATCGGGTGTCCGGCGAACATGTATTTAATGCTTATCGAACCATTATGCTACATATGTTATAACATCGTCGTAATGAAAATATTAGTGATAAAAAAATCTAATTGGACTGCGAATTGATTGCGCGTACATAATTATTATATATCGAGAAGTTTATTACGAGATTAAACATTGCAATATTTTATTTTGCATTACGATTAGCTTCATGACAGATTTTAAGCATCCAATTAGCCGATTAAGTATATCCTTCATATAAGTCACTTATGTTTATGGTAATTTCAAGATCGCGTTAACGTAGATTATGTTATATTTATATTATATTTATCTTATATTTATGTTATATTTATCTTATATTTATGTTATATTTATGTTATATTTATCTTATATTTATCTTATATTTATGTTATATTTATGTTATATTTATGTCGCCGAGTGGAATGCGCAAAATTACGTAATTCATCTCGGAACGAGCGGTTTTGAGCATTCCGGATGATACACGAGGCACACTTCTACTTGCCAGATGCTGATGGAATGACATTTCTTTCCCCTCATCCAGGAGTTTCCCGTTAGAAATGACTCATCAGCGAGTCCCTTGTATGAAACTGAGCTGGCTCAAGAACATTCACGAGCGTTCGTGAGAACTGACAAGGTAAAATTACGTGCCATTTTATCAAAAGGAAAAATAACAGAGCGTTAAGAGTGCTGTTTGCCAGAGCTATTATTTTCAAAACGGAAACTATTTCGTTCGGGAACGCCCTGATACGGTCTTCCAATCTTAAAAGGCAATTTTTAAGACAATCCTCTCGCAGTTTCTCACCTTCTCGAGAGAGCAATCGAATCTCCATTCACAAGTGACTTTGAATCTTTCAGATTCCTTCCGGATAGATTGAGAATAAAACGTCGTGTTATATGACATGTCAAATTAATTCATGCACGCAGAAATAGCCGTGATATCTTCTGCGATGTCATCGTAACGAAGACTGCGATGTGTAACACGTGTTCATTGGTGAAGTCATCGATCAACTGAAGACTTTTTTCTCTTCGTTTTTGCTGTACATTTACAAACACCTTTTTAATAGGCGAAAAAAAATTAATAACGGAATAATCTGCATTGTAACATCTAACTTTATAAAACTTCGTACAACTAATCAAGTATTTCGAGGAACCATTATATGTAAAGTATTATAAAAATATTTTGAAAATGATGAGCAAATCGAAAAAAAGAATAAAAAATACAACACGTTTGAGAAGTAGAAGGATTAGTGATTTACTTAAAATATATTTCGTTAAAATTTTATTCGAGATACAAGACCAAAATTTCG